TCAAAATAAATAAGAGCTGAAAATATTGCTCAGTGGTAGAGTACTCCTTTGTTTAATTCCCAGTACCACAAAAAGGCTGTTAGTAGTTTTTTGTTGTTGTTGTTGTTTTTTATTTTTGTACCAGAGATTAAAACCAGGGGCACTTAACCACTGAGCCACATCCCTAGCTCTTTTTATGCATAGAGACAGGGTCTCCCCAAGTTGCTTAGGGCCTCACCAAGCTGCTGAGGCTGGATTTGAACTCGCCATTCACCTGCCTCAGCTTCCTGAGCTGCTGGGATTACAGGTGTATACCACCACGCCTAGCAGGCTATTAGTTTTGATAAAGTACAATTCATCATTTTCTTTTGTCACTTGTGTCTATGGTATCATGTCTAAGAAAGCTTTGTTTAATCCAAGGATATTAAGATTGATTCCTGGGCTGGGGTTGTGGCTCAGTGTCAGAGTGCTTGCCTAGCATTTGTGAGGCACTGGGTTCGATTCTCAGCACCACGTATTGATAAAATTTTTTAAAAAGTCCATTGACAACTAAAAATTTTTTTTTTAAATTGATTCTTGTTTTCTTTTGAGTTTTATACCTTGCTCTTAAATTTATGTTTTTGATCCATTTTCAGTTTATTTTTTGTACATGGTGTGAAGTAGAGGTCCAACTTCATTTTGGATATGGATACCCAGTTGTCTGAGCACCATTTGTTGAAGAGACTGTTCTTTCCCCATTGAATGGACTTGGCATCTATGTTGAAAGTCAATTGATGATAGATGTAGATAGGTTCATTTCTTGACTCTCAGTTCTATTCCATTGGTCTATATGTCTATGTTTATCTCAGGACACTTTTTATTGCTCTAGCTTTGTATTAAAGTTTTGTATTAGGACATGTGAGTCCTCCAAATTTATTTTGCTTTTTAAAAATAGTTTTGGCTATTCAAGGTATCATGCAATTCCATATGAATTTGAGGATTGACTTTGGTTTTCCACAAAAATTTGTTGAGATTTTGATATGGATTGCATTAAATTGCAGGTCAATTTGCAGGTATTTCCATCTTAACAATGTTAAATCTTCTTCTCCATGAATACAGATGCCTTTACATTTATTTAGGTCTTCTTTAACTTGTTTGTGAGTTTTTATACATTTCAGAGTACAAGTTTTATACTACTTTGTTAAATTTTTTCCTTAGAAAAAATACAAAGAATAAATATTTTATTCTTTTTGATGTTATTATAAATAGCATTGTTTTCTTATTTCTATTTTCAGCTTGTTTCTGCAACATTTTAAATAAGAATTTTAAAAAACACATCACCACAACCAATCTTTAAGCTTAAAATCAAAGGTTGTTACTATTTTTAGGTTGTTGTTTTCAAGGATTCCAATGTTTTTACAATGGGCTACACAGTAATAAAGCTTAAAAATTATCTCATTAGTATGTTTTGGTAATGTGGAAACAATTGGCTTCACTAATGAATTTAACATTATCATAAAAATTCCAAACCAACCTCATCCTATCAGAAGAAAGTTAATATGAAACTGCTTACTTTGGTTGTCCCAGAAACTTGTCTGCTAATAGTTAAAAGTATTTAATATGCTTCTTGGGTGAGTGGGTATTTCTCTAATTACAATTCTTTCTCTGAAGGACATGGAAAATTCCTGGGTGCTGGTATTAATCTCTCCCTTTCTTTAACAAACTGGAAATTGGATACAATGAGATTAAAATTTTCTTAAGAGCCAAGATCAGGACTCTGTTAATGTTCTGGATGAATTTGGGGTTTTGCGCTAGACATAAATTCACACCAACCCCTCACCTAGAAAGGTTGCTCCCTCTATTTTTTCTTTATCCTGGTCTTAAGACATCACAGCCAGAAATTTAAAAGAGAGGAGTACACTAGCTGTGAGTTTTGACCAATACACTACATATTTTAATAAAGTTGTTGGTCAAAACTCAACTACATGCCTAGAATGCGTGAGGTCCTGGGTTTGATTCCCAGCATTGCAAATAAACGCAACCAAGCCAAACAAACAAACAAAGCACTTCAGATATGCAGTGAATATTAATTTATTTTACTTGAAACAATATTGTTTTTTGATTTTAAAAAATGTTTCTATGATAATCAGAGGTTTTAAAATGTTTACCCAGATTTTGTGTCAATCTTTTAAAAGAAATTTCATAGACTGGAGGCATTTAAGAAGTTGGAAGGAAGCTTAGAAACTGGGGGCGTGGGTTTGTGAGCCAAGTTCTGCTGTAGACATGTTTTATTTGGCCCCTGTGGTATTTTAAAACTATTTAAATTAGTTGCCAACATTTAAAAATCAGCCAGTTTCACATAAAATTTTGGATTTCTGACTTTTTTGAAAAAGTGGGCAAATGTGGCTATCTCAGGCCCACACTGCAGCACAGTGTATACTGGGGGCATGTGTCAAGGTCCTCCTCTGGTCCACTCCCTTCAGTAGCATTAACTACTGGCCCCAGGAGGCCTTTGAGTCTATGAATCCTGAGCTAATTCATTAATCCCCTCCTGAGGTTTTGAGACAGGATTGGAGAAATCATTACTGCCAAAGTTAGTCAGCAGCTAATTAATTATCAATTTCTCAATAGTTGTTTGGACTCTAATGTCAAGAGTGTTATTTGTAAAATGGATAAAGTTAGGGAAGGGCTAATTATTCTACATTTTCAAAGGATTTTCTTGCTTGAATGGCATCCCCATTGATGTATTTTGGCTTTTTAAATATAATTAACTGACAGAGGATCTAAGGAAGCCACAGCTCATCAAAAATTGGTCCAAAGAAACACTAGAAAAAAATGAATCATGTTTATTTTAACCCATATCTCTCAGCTTAGATCTTACCTCCTCTTTAAGAACTTTTTCATTTCTCTCCTCTTCTTCTAAACCACTATGATTTTCTTGTATGTCCAGGTAACAAGTTAGTAATTAATCATTCATCCATTCAATAAATACATATTTGATGGCTCTGGGGATATAACTCAGTGGTATAGCACTTGCCTACCATGTGTTAGGCCCTGGATTTCATCCCCAGCACTAAGAAAGGAGGAGGAGAAAGGAAGGGGAAGAAGGAGAAGAAGGGGAAGGAATAGGAGATGGAGAAGGAGGAGGAGGAGGAGGAAGAGAAAATGAAGGAGGAGGAAGAGAAAAGGAGGGGGAAGTGGGGAGGAAAGGAAGGAAGAAAGATGAACTTCAGCATTTACTAGATACCATGGGGGGCTGTGTTAGCATAGTGGACAAAGGGACAGAAATTCCTTGCACTGCTACAATGCTAGTGTGGTAAATAGATAATAAAGAGACAAATAGATAGTTCTGATAATTACATGCATTGTGAAGACATAAAGACAGGCTAATGTGACCATAGCTAGGGACTGGGTGCTATTTAGTTAGGATGGTGAGAGAAACTTGAAGAAAGAAGCCATATGAGGGTGTATGGCCTGTTCAGTCATAGAGGAGTCAGAGTGCCTGGGCCTAAATGCCAGTAACTGCATTCTGTTCCCTTATTGGGTACTGGGGATCAAACCCAGTAGCACTCTATCACTAAGCTAGATCCCCATCCCTTTGTATTTTTAATTTTGGATAGGGTCTTGCTAAGTTGCCCAGGCTGACCTCAAATTCACAATCCTCCTGCCTCAGCCTCTATAGTAGCTGGAATTACAGACATGAGCCACCACTCCTGGTTCCAATAGCCCCTTTATTTTTATTAGTTGCTCAAGACAATACAATGATCTTGACATATCATACATTTGATTCAAATAGGGTATGAATTCTCATTTTTCCATGTGTACAAATTGCAGGATCACATTAGTTATACATCCATGTATATACGTACAGAAATCCTAGTGTCAGTTGCCAATTGCCCCTTTAAATAACTGCATGACCTTTGGCAAGTTGCTTAACCTCTCTAAGCCTTCAGTTGCCTCATCCATAAAATGGGATTACAGACTACCTCCTTTATAAGGTTACTGTAAAGAGTAAAGGAGATCATATATTTATATTACATAAAATAATGCCAGTCTCATTACCGAAGCTATTGTTATTTATTTCTTAATTCCTGCATTGTTTGAAAAAACACAGAATTAAAGCAATTTGCATTTTTGTATTGCATTCACAGAAATTAACAGTGTGCTATCTGAACTGAGGGATTTTGGAGGGAGGAAACAGAACAGAAAAAGTGACTTAAACGGAAGGTAATTTCTGTCTTCATGGCTATATTCTTAACAAGCTTTGTAGAGAAGCACCTCTCATTCGATTCCCAAATATAGGCCTAATCTTGACCAAAAAATGGCTCTCAATCCTAAATCATTCCAGCCTGCAAAACAAGTCAAGAATTAATTTCCCTCCATTTATGTTCAATTTTGCCAAAACCATTAATCAATCAACAATATAAATTATCTAATGATTCAGAATCCAACTGCTGTTAATATTTGGCTGACTCTAAGTACAATTTAATCCCAGGCTGAGAGAAGCCATGTATATTTGTACCACGAACATATATGGTAGAGTTCTGAATGTGCCAATATGGACTAAGAAAATTACATTAACATTACATTACATTAACATGATTTAACCCCAACCAGAACAAACCTCCAAAGATTAATCTGGTTCTTCCTCAATTGGTCTTTTTGGCCTCCCTCAGCTTCCATAATTCTAAAACGGAAATGTTAGCTTATGACTTCATTTGGAACAACAGCTATAGCAGAAAATGAAGTAACAGAAAATGGCTGAATATTGCTTTATATATTCTAAGTATGTATATGTCTTTTGTTTTGAATTGCTTCTTCTAGAGCAACACTGTTTGTGCTTAAACACAGAACAACTGAAATACTAATGGATGAAAAGTATGTTTAATTAACTTGCTTTTATCAGACACTATGTCCACTGCTATATTTAGCAACTGAACTAATAGAGAAAGCTGCTGCAGAATTAGTCAGCACATCAGCCTGTTAAATATCAAAGAGCAGAGGAGGTCTTTTGTCTCAGCATTGAGCCAGACACTGAAAATGCATCTAATTTTAGCATTTCCAGAGGAGAATAAAAATATGTGAAACACAATAATCAGGAAAAATGTCACGCACAGTCTAAGTACACGTTCGTCAGAGGAAAAATGCCGGGAGGGCAGCAGGCGGCATATGTAAGAGGTGTGTCCGGAAGCTACAGTTCATATCCAAGGTAATTCTTTAAAATAATTTAACATTAAAAAAGCCAAGACTTCCATCCACAAAAGAAAAGGTCCTAGGGAGTAATACAGAGTACTGAGTAGGTGGAAAGGTCTTTTTCTAGAAATGGTTTCCTGTGGTCTACTTTAGCACTTAAGGGCACCTGATTGTGCCCAGATATGTCCTATAAAGAATGGATCTTTTCTGTCCCAGATTAGACTTTGTATAGTGGAAAGCAAAGAGAAAACAGTAGAAGAAGGGGAAATCCTACCAGCATCTTCAAGAGATACTATAGCATTAACTACATACTGACTATCAGAAAATAAATTAAATACAGAATCTTTAAACATCACAAAAGCTTGTAAAACTGCATTAAGCTCTACCTTTTGAGCTGATTGTTTGGGTACTAAAAATGTAAAAGTTTGATCAGGGGTAACTACTGCTGCTGTACCATTATTTGACCCATCAGTGAATATATTTGGAGCATTCATGATAGGTGTTTTTCTTGTCATTTTTGGAAAAATTACACGATGCAATGACCAAAAAGACAATAAAGGATTAGATGGTAAGTGGTTATCAAATGAAACATTAGATTTGCACATGATTATTGCCCAAGTATTTAACTCATTAGCTAACTCATCAATTTGATTCATAGTATATGGAGTAATAATTTTATTGGGAGAAATTCCAAACACTCCCTTTGCTGCTTTTATTCCTTTGAGTATTAATTGTCCTACAGCCTCAGGATACCTAGTAAGAATAGTGTTAGGAGAATAAGATAAATGTATCCATAATAATGGACCTTCTTGCCAAAATACTCCTGTAGGAATATTTTTTGTTGGTAGTACAATAAATAATAAAGGCAAACTTATATCAATTCTATCCAAATGCATATTTTCCATATATGTTTCAATGATTTTTAATGCCTTTCTTGCTTCAGGCGTTAACATTCGGGGTGAATTTGGATCTGATGGACCTTTTAGGATATCAAATAAAGGTCCCAACTCTCCTGTTGGTATACCTAAATAAGGCCTTATCCAATTTATGTCTCCTAATAACTTTTGAAAGTCATTAAGTGATTTGAGTTGATCTACTCGTATTTGAATTTTTGGTGGACGGACCATGGTTGAGGATAATAGAACTCCTAAATAATTAATTGGAAAATTTAATTGTACTTTATCTATTGCTATCTCTAGATTATAATTTTTTAATAAGTTTGTAAGTGTGGCATAACATTCTAGCAATGTGTTTTTATCTTTGTGTGCTAATAATACATCATCCATATAGTGAAATATTTGTAGTTCAGGATTTTGATTTCTAAGTGGCTGGATTACTTTGTTAACATAAATTTGACACATAGTTGGGCTGTTAGCCATCCCTTGAGGGAGTACTTTCCATTCATATCTCTGATCAGGACCTTCATGATTCAGTGCAGGGATAGTAAATGCAAAACGTGGACTATCCTCAGGATGAATTGGAATTGAAAAAAAACAATCTTTAATATCTATAACTAAAACATACCAGGTTTTTGGCAAAGCAGACAACTGAGGAATCCCTGATTGAGCAGGTCCCATAATAATCATCTCATTATTAATGGCTCTTAAATCTTGCAATAATCTCCATTTACCAGATTTCTTTTTGATGACAAAAATGGGAGTATTATGGGGAGATACAGAAGGTTGTATATGTCCTTCTGCTAATTGTTGTTTGACCAGGTCATGGGCTGCTTGTATCTTTTCTTTAGTCAGGGGCCACTGAGGAACCCACACTGGTCTTTCTGATTTCCAAGTAATTTTTATTGTCTCAGTGGCCCTTTCTGAAAATCCAACCCATGTCTGTCTGTTCCTTGATCTATTTGTATTGGTGCTGCTATACCTTGTTCTTGTTTTTCTAATCTTTTTCCTTTCCTAAAACCTTGTCTAGTCATAATAGTGGGTGCATTTTGGTTGATGTTATTTGTTAATGTCAAACCTAATTGATCTAGGACATCTCGTCCCCATAAATTTACGGGAAGATGATCCAATACATATGGCTGTATAGTTCCTTCACATCCTTCAGGATCCTTCCAATCTAATACCATTGCACTTCTATGGGGATTAGTTGCCACTCCTAGGCCTCGAAGTGTTTGAGTGGCTTGTTGTAATGGCCAATGTTTTTGCCATTCTTGACGAGAGATGATGCTAAGGTCTGCACCTGTATCCAGTAGCCCATTAAATTCATGTCCTTGAATATTTAGTTTTAGCATGGGGCGAGAATCTAAATTTAAAGAAAGCATAGCCCAATCTACACCTGTGGAGCCTAATACCTTGGAACCTCTTTCTACAGTACGACTGGAAAATTTATCATGTAGGCTGGGTATTATTAGTAACTGTGCTATTCTATCTCCTGGTGAAATTACTGATATACCCTTTGGAGAACTGGCTATAATTTTTATTTCACCTTCATAATCGGGATCAATTACCCCAGGACTTATCATAAGTCCTTTTAGAGTAGAAGAGCTGCGTCCCAATAATAAGCCTACTGTTCCTTTGGGAAGAGGTCCTTTCACCCCTGTGGGAATGATTTGAACTCCCATCTCTGGAGTTAGTACTGCTCTGGCGGAGGCGCAGATGTCCAACCCTGCGCTCCCTCTGGTTTGTCTGATGAGGGATCTGATGGACAATGTGTCCTGGGCACTACCCTGATGGGGTTGCTGGGTTCCTCCAGTGCTCCGTATATTTGTGGTTTTGGGCCCCGGAGCATTGGGCCCCCCCTGTCCATTTTTTGGCAATGGAGCCCGATGCCTTTCTCCATGATATCATGGATAAACACCTGGTCCTTGTTCGTTTTTTGATAATGGAGTACCCTCTATGGTGGTTTGAGAACGGCATTCATTAGCCCAATGTCTCCCTCTACGGCATCGTGGGCAAATACCTGGTATTCTACTCCTTTGATACCTAGTTTTGTTAAACCCTCCTCCAATGGGGCAATTCCTTTTAAAATGTCCTGTTTGTTCACAATTGTAGCATGTTCTTGGCCTGGCATCTAAAACCTGTTTTACTGTAGCTGCCACAATTTGCCCTTGTTCATTAATGTCTCTGGCATCTAAAGCCTGTTTTACTGCAGCTGCCACAACTTGCTCTTGTTCATTAATGTCTCTACATAATTTAATATATGTGTTTAAATCTTCATGTTTCCATGGTCTAATGATATCTCTGCACCAACGATTCGCTTGCTCATAAGCCAGGTGTTTTAGTAATGGCATTGCTTGTTCTGTATTCCCAAAAACTCTGGTAGCTGTTTGAATAAGCCTATCTACAAATTCAGCATAAGGTTCATTAGCTCCTTGTATTACCTTAGATAATTGACCTTGTAAACCTCCATGTCCTTGTAAAGTCTTCCATGCCTTAATTGCATCTACAGCTATTTGTGCATATACACCAGGATCATATGCAATTTGTTGCTGCTGATCCTCATAAGGTCCCTTTCCTAACAACATATCTAGATTTCTCTGAGGATAACCAGCTGCTGCATTTCGCCTAGCCGTCTCCTTGCAAAATTCCTCATTGGCAACCTTCCATAACAGGTATTGTCCTCCATTTAGCACAGCTTTACACATATTAGCCCAATCTGCTGGCGTCATGTTCAAGTTGTTAATGGATTCGACCATGCTTACAGTGAAGGGTGCTTGAGGACCATAGGTTGTTACAGCCTCTTTTAGCTGCTTCACTGTTTTGAAATTTAAAACTTGGTAAAATCGCTGCCCTCCTGCCTCAAATACAGGGCATGTTAATATTTGAGATCTTGTCTCAGGATCCCAACTATCAACTGCGGGGGTTGGGGACCTCCCAGCATATGGAGGTGGCCTTGTTAGTTGGACACTTACGTCCTCTGGTGATAGAAAGGTGTTAGTAGCAGTCTCCTGTAGAGGTGGTGCTGTTGGTTGGACACTTACACCCTCTGGTGATAGAAAGGTGTTAGTAGCAGTCTCCTGTTGTAACTTTCCCCCTGATGGCTTTTTCTGTTTTACACTTTCTTTCTCTGTCTGACTAACTTGAGAGGCCTTCTCTTTTACTTGAATCTTTTCCTCTGTCTGACTAACTTGAGAGACCTTCTCTTTTACTTGAATCATTATGTCTTCTCCTTCCTCTACCATTGTCTGAACTGAAGGCTTTGGACTAAGCAAACAAGATACGAACGTCCACAATGGCAATGTGCCAACTGGCAGAGTCCCTGGGCTTTTCTTTTCTATTCTTTTTAAATCTTCACCATGATGGTTCCATTGTGATATATTTAACAACTCCTCCTTAAAAAGCCATGGGCTACATTTTTGTATTGTATCAACGTATGCCCTGACTGTTCTTGATTTTACTGAGATGCCTCCTTCCTCTAACAATTTACTTAACACTCTTTCAGTTTGTTTTTTACTAATTTCTGATCCCGTATTTCTACTATAATACAACCCAACAAGATGACGCCAAACAAAACCGAGACAGAATGAAATAAAAAGGGAACAACAAAAAGTCATTATAGCCTTTCTATCCTCCTGACATGTGCATCCGTCCTTTCTCCCTATCTGTTCCTCAGACGTAAATAGTTTTTCCTCAGATGTGAGCGGTTTTTCTTCCGTCTCACTCATCTCCAGGGACAGGCAACTTAAAACAAAAGTGAAGCAAAATAAAAGAGGAATCTTAAAATGGCTACCCATCCTCTCGCCCTGCCCTCAGGGGCGAGCAGTTTCACTTACCCTCAGTCGCTCCCCGTGCGAGCCACCAAATGCCGCAGTCTGGCTGGGCACAATCAGGAGCCACTTGTCAAAAAAAACTAACTTTATTTTTAGAACCACACACGCCAAACCACACAGCTCCTCAGGAAAAACCCTCAGAGCCTCAACTGCCACCACTGGCTTTCCACAAGCCTCTCTCTCCCACACAAGCTTCTCTCCACCTCCCACAATCCTCCTGCTCTTGAGGCCGATTGGCTGGGTCACGTGGGCGGAGCCAAAAAAGTCCCCCAATGAGCAGCTCCGTGGTC